TCAAATGTTTAATGATGTAGGTCAACTCAGCACGTAACACAACACAAATGCCCAACATGCCCCGGTGTGTCAGGAAAGATTAAACATGGCACCCCGTGGTTCTTTTGATGACTTGAATAACAGAGAAAATGTCTTGCAATCTTTAATTACACGTTTCAATGTTAACAGCCATGACTAAGAATCCCATGAAATATAATAAATGGATTGACTGAATTAGTCATGTCATGTATATGAGCACAATGTCTCTATGCACTGCTTTCACAAGCCAAAGTAAAACTAATAAGTAGTCATGCTTGAACATATGCCAAGTAGTTAATTAAAACTATGTACTGCAAGCGTTTTCAAAACATATGGAGGACGTTCAATCAATGTGTAGTCTGACAAAATGATGGAGTGAGAAAAGGTCATTTTCATAATGCTCACTTGGATATGCAGTGAAATATATCAGTAGTACAAAAGCTGATGAGCTTTGTGAAGCTTGATTGTTCTAATAACTCTAAATATTTGGTGAATATACCTTCATTATATATCAAAATGATCATTGTATAAAGCATTGTCCGCTTTAAAGCTGAACTTGTATCAAGCTGTTCCACCTATGTCAGTATTTGTCGACTTGATTTAAACTGCAAGAACAAAATAATAATACATGTATTTTATTTGTATAGTGCTTTAAAAGGGTACTCGAAGGCACTTTACGTGGTAAAAACAGAAACAATAAAAGCAATAACATTATAACAGTAAGAAACAAAACAAAAACGTACATAATTAGCATCATAGGTTAAAAGTAGAATTAAATAGATGAGTTTTGAGTGCAGGTTTGAAAGTGGCGAGTAATGGAGAATGTCTGAGGTGTTGGGGGAGGGAGTTCCAGAGGGAGGGGTCAGCAATGGAGAAGGCCCTGTCCCCCCAGGTCCGATGTTTGGACAGAGTAGGGGGCGCCGGCGGATCTGAGGTTGCAGGTGGTAGTGCATCGGTGCAGGAGGTCCGAAAGGTATGAAGGGGCGAGGGTTGAGAAGGGCTTTGTATGTGATGAGAAGAATCTTGAACTGGATTCTTTGCTGTATGGGGAGCCAGTGGAGGTTTTGAAGGACTGGGGTGATGTGGTCTCTGGTGAGGGAGTGGGAGAGCAGACGGGCAGCTGAGTTGTGGTTGTATTGTAGTTTGTTGGGAGTCGTCAGCGTAGCAGTGGAGACCATGGTGGCGTATGATGTCACCAAGGGGGAGCATGTAGAGGATGAAGAGGAGGAGACCGAGTACCGAACCTTGGGGACACCTTGAGAGACTGGGGCTGTGTCAGAGTTGGATTTATTGATACTAATGAACTGTTAGCGGTCGGAGAGGATTTGAACCAGGAGAGGGCTGTGCCAGTGATATGGAGGGAGGACTCGAGACAGGAGACGAGGATGGAGTGGTTGATGGTTTCAAAGGCTGCACTGAGGTCGATTAGTATCAGGATGTTGAGGGAGTGGTCATAGAGTTGGATGGAGTCGAGGTGAGTTTTGAGTTGGTGGGCAACAGTGCGTTCCATTATTTTAGACTTAAAAAAGAGATTGGTGGTGGGTATGTAGTTGTTGTGGATGTCAGGGTCAAGGCCAGGCTTTTTGAGGATGGGTGAGACTGAGGCGAGTTTGAACATCTATCTTTAGAAAACGTTGGCAGCACAATAAAAGCCTCTTTGTGGTTTTTTATTCAACAAACTATCACTGCATGTTTCAAATAGTATATGATGTCCATCCGAATTAGCGACCACCTCACTACCCTAGAGCTTAGAAAACATAACTCTGAGGTCTGTATGTTGTCTTGAACTGAGGGCACCGAAATCTGCAGATTTGTTATTTCAATTTTTTGAGTGGTTGGTAAACCTAATTAATGTGTGTTTACTCTCCACTACACCCCCGCTTTTAGAAGAAAGTTCCCTAACAACTCGCCCTTTTGTCCGACCACACTGCAGCTGCTCTTCCCTGTGCTTGCAGAACACACAGAGACATTCAGGCCACCATAGATCATTCAAACAGATCTGCTTCCACATCGATATTAGTGACTGCATGCGTCCAGCAAACACCCATATATGCTGCTTTCTCTTCTGTCGGTCATGAAGTGTGTGGTTACAGAATTAAACGGTCAGACAACATGGATAGAGGTAGAGTATACAATATTATATCATGGCAAGTATTTGTTAAAATGTTTGTTTTCGAGCGCTTTGCAAAACAAGCAAAACTATTCCTGACATTACTATTTTTGCGCATTATGTTCATACCGTTGTATCGTTTTGAGCTGAACTTTTGTTGGATGCCCTGTTTCTATTTATTCCTGTTGCCCACTTCAGAAGTGCAACAATGGATGAAGAACAGCTGATTGGTGCAGTTGAAATGAGGAGTTATCTGTACAGTACCACCTCATTTCACAAGAAAAACCTAATTAAGGAGGCAGCTGGCTGGAGGGAGATCGCCTGGGAGCTGAAAGTTTCCTACTTGCTGTTGGCTACATTATATGTAATTTCCAGTAAATATCTCAATATAAAACGGTTTAAAGTTTCCAGTTCCAGTTTAAAAAGTACAAATGTCGGAAGATGGCAAGTATTTCTCTTCCATCTTTTAAGTGACTACGTCTCCACTCTGATCTCAAACGCACAGCTGATCGGTACGTACTTGGTTTGTTTACATGACGTAGCGTAACGCTTTCAGTTAGGACATGGTGTCTCTGAGGCAGGCTTTTCTGCCATCATTACAGTTGTTGAATTATTATCGTTCCGCTTGACATAACTTTACATTTCATTCAAGTGACGTTGTGGGACTCCCGTCATACCGTACAATCAGTAGCTTTTGTTTCCCCACAATCAAATATTAATTTTCATATTAAAATATCAGTTTGTTTTTTTACTTTTCCAAACTGTGTGTAGCCATAGTTCAATTTTTTTCCTAACTGCATTCTGAAAAGATCCTCCCCCTACCCTGTCTCCGATTGGCTCTGACCTTGATATACTTTTTGCGCTGAATGAGGGTGGGGTAAAAAAAAAAATAAGGCATGCGTGAAACATACCTTACCATACCTGTGCTTCTCCCCGAGCAACAAGACAACCTTAAAACATACCAGTAATTCAAAATGAAGAGAACTATCGATTGTTTTTTTTGTCAAGAAAAATGCTGAGGTGGCCGTTACACCTGTCCCCAGCCAGAGCCTATACAAAATGGCCAAAATATACGCCTTTCACAAAGAATGGCGCATCTAATTTCCATTTATTGCAAAGAGCGCAACCAAAACATGGCTGGGAACAGTGCCTTTGCTGTCAGAGCATCGACCTTACGAATTGAAACGTTAAACAAACACTATACAGGATATACTAAAATATGAGGACTCTGTGGCTGCTAGTCATAAGTGATAGCCTTAAGTCCCCATCTTCTGTGTGAGTATGTGGGCAGTTCGAGCTTCCACTTGAGAGGGATTTGATCAAAGTGTTCAGGGATTTGATTGCTCAAAAGTGAGCATGACTTGCATGCATTAGTTTTTGAAGAACCCTAAACCAGTGATGTTAGATCATGAGATGGAGGATATTAATAAATTAGATCTTGGAATCTGGAAACAAACACAAACATTTTTGCCAACTGACATGTAAACACACACCTCTGAGCCACAATAACACTCTGCTAGCTATTAAAACCAACAACTTCCACACTTGGTTTTATATGAAAAAGATTTCAAATTTTTCATTTGCCTCAGGCTGGCAAGGAACAACCGGAGCTTCTTCTCCTGTTTCTCACAGCAGCCTGGTCACGTTTTCCCTGTCACCACTTTAGTTCAATCCTACAGGAAGACTCTATCCAAATGACAGCAGGATGTCATCTATGTTAGGCATTCTATGAAATATTAAATAAATATCTAAACATTACATTCATGTTTGTACTCGTCTCCGAGCTGAACAAGTTCCCATTGAATTTCTCCTCACAAAACCTGACATTCCCCGCTGTGCACTTCTGCCCTATTACAAGTCCCCATTTAGCCCAGCAGGAGAGAAGATTCCCATGAATAAAATCTTTTCATGCAAGAAAACATTGACAGAAGAATGACAAATAAAGCAGCCTCTTATCTGAGGGCCCAATGTGTGTCGATGGAACTGATGCTTTCAAAACAAGAACACAGCACCAGCTGTAACCTCTCTTTAAATAGACTAAACCACGTAACACACCTATTTCTATAATCCTGCAGACTTACAAGCTACACATTTCAAACATGATCCATATTTCGACTTCATCATATCAGGTAATTTTGAACAAAACCACAGTAAAAGGTTTTGCTAGAGTCACATACGTTCAGCTTGCTTTGGCCAAAAATAACAACCAACATGATGGAAGTAGAAAAAGAGAGAAAAACTGGAAGAGAGGGAAACTCAAACATCATAAATTCAGAAAGACGTCAGATAAAGTAAACATCTCACAACATCAACCTCAAAGTGCCAAACCATCTATGTTTGAACAGTAAGGTCTTTCAAGAGCATGCATATTGAAAAAGGCAAAAGGTGTAAAACCAAATAAAGCAATATTTGTGATATCAAATTGAATCCAGTTATTTCCTCTCGAGTGAAAGTGTTGCTTGCAGCTTTCAGCTCATGCTTCAAACTGCTCTTGGCTCATTTTCATACAATAATTTGTTGGTCCAAACGATGCAGCTTAAAAGATTATTGAACTCACAGCCTCTGCATGGTTTAAACTGTTTTAAAGTAATATGTGTTATTTGCTGGCTTCAGCCTGCTATTAACATGCAACACCGCGTAATGCAAACATAGTTGCAGCTGTTACACAACAGTGAATGTCAAAAATTGAATCTACAAATGTCTCATTATTGTGAGTGCCAATATGTTTTTTCCCCGTATCCACCACATCCATTAGACCCATTTAACCATATTGTAGAGCCATACACCCTGGCATAACTACATTAATAATTACAGAAAAGCGGCACCCAGGTGGAAAAAAAAAAAAGCTGGAGTGATGCTTGAAAAGACTTACCAATGTACAGGTTCCACTCTGGATCCAGATCAGCTTGATTGGCCAGGCAGCCCTTCACAACATTCAGGCAGTAGTTCTTACAGGATTTAACTGCCGGCATGCCCTGACAAAAGGGGCAGTACAGCATCTTGGTCAGTGCCCGAATACATGCTGGAGTGCTGCTTACCTGCAAGATCACAAGAGTGTGACATTCAGATATTAGCACCTGCACAGCTCCTTCAAATAATGTACTCATTTGAACCACACTCATTTAATAAATCACATTAATTCCAGGAGGATATTTGTATTTGTCATTTTCGTTTTACTTAATATTCTAACATTTCCACAATTAACAAATCATGGCAATTTTAAAGAGCCATCCAGAAAGAAAAATATATTCGTCGAATACCAATTATCAGGATACAATTGCATCCTGAAAAAAGGTGGAAGATGAAGTTAAAGATTCATTTTAGTATGCATATTTAGAAATGCCACAAGAGAGACGAGAGAGATGTTTTGCTGACCAAAGGCTTTTGAACATTTGTGAGCACTGTCAATAACAGCGTGTGTGATCATTAACAGACAATTTAGCCCGCATTTGATTGTCAAATATGAAATAAAGACAACTCTTTATCTGCCCAGCCATCAGGTGAGTTAGCTGTCGTGCATTTCATTTCTCAGTTGTTCATCCTTCTCGTCTTCACATACACAACTGAGATGACGTGTGACAGGTGGAGTTTGAAGAGGACGGTATGGAGTCATCACACACAGCAGGCATCACAAAGCCCCAAAAATAACACAAGCTAGAGAAAGGATACGCATAATTATCACTGACACAATAGTTCTAGTGTGTTTTCACAGATTATCACTCCACAGTGATCGCATTTGATAATTCATTATTATTATTAGTCATCATTAGTTATCATTTTAGTGGGTGGAATTTTAAATGATTCAAACTAATTGGCCACAATTGAATTAAAAACAAATTTAATAGTGGAAAACAGCAACATAATGAGTCAGCTTAACAATCAGTCGTGGCACTAATTGAGTGTTTGAATTTGTTTAATAGGATGTTGACGTCCAAAGGAAAGTTCCCCCTCTCCCGCTGATGCTTTTCAAATGTTTTCCAAGACAGATCATCATTCCAGACAGATTGATAACCATGACAAATGTGTGCAGATCTAATTACTCCCTTGTCTTTGTAAGGAGAAGACAGATAAGATGAATTTGCAGGCTAATGGGGCACTGTGGCTCATACAGGCTGAAAAAGCTTCAACTCAAAGCTACTTTAAATAAGTGTCTGAGGATAGAGTGTTGTATGTTTTGTACAAATTGTAACGCCCTCTTGGTCTCGAATCACAAATCTGTCTGTTAATTGGGAATAGTATTGGTGTGAACAGCTTGGGTTTGACAAAGTATGAAGAAATGCATTCAACTGTGTCATTGTGAAGGTATTGTGATAGTGAGGGAATATCCTCACTACGCTACAGGAAACCATGGGCTGCAACAGCTGTCCTCTGCTGTATTACATTCAGGTCACATGTAGACTCTGTGTTCAGTGTGTTCAGAGTTCATCTTATCAGTGGCTGTCTGTTTTGCCACGTGTGAGCTACTATTGTGACATTTCATACAGCAAACACAAGTAAAGATGTTGTTATTAGAGGGTTTCTTAAGAGTGAGCTGCACTCAACATTCTGATCCTCAACACTCAAATGCTTGAAGGCGTTTGAAATGAAAGCTCCTGGGTCTCGGCTAATGGACTTTTTTCTGTGCACCAAGAAGCATCTTATTAAGCATCTTTCAGGCTGAAAACCCACTTTTTCAGGCAACACCTGGACATGCCTTTGCAAGCACTTACTAACGTCTCATTTTCTTGATAAAGATAGAAATACGAATGCCTTGTGGAGTGTAGTGCTGGAGACCCTCTTACTTTAGTTATTTGTCTTTTTGTTTTAAAGGGATGCACTTCAAATAGTTTAAAGGTGTCTAGTTCTACAGACTACAGAAGCAAACACTTCTGCTCAATGAATTTAATGTAAAGACCCTGAAGAGGACACAGAACATTTTGTTTCTTTACTTGATGGCCTTCGGCCACACAAACACAATGAAAGGGTTTAGTATGAAAAATGAAAACTGAATGTATCTGCATTCTTGCAGCAGTATGAGGAATGTCATTTTTCTGTCTCGGTGGAAACCCATGAACCCGATCAAACAATGATGCAAGGCTTTCATTCCTGTTGATACGTTTAAAGCAGACAACCTGTCCACTCAGAGCATAGAAGAAAAGTAGCCACATAAAACGTAATTAAATAGGCTGTGGTTCTCGTACAGGACTTTGTAGTTGAGGCATTTGGCTACGCTGTTGCATTTCTTGTCCTCTACTGAGATAAGCTTTGTATGATTTAGGTTCAGCTAAACATACGGTTGCTGTGGCTAAAGAAAACATGTCACAAAATAAGTAGCTGGTTAGAGTTGACATGTGTAGGAACCTGCTCTTCACAAGATTTTTATTTCAAATTATTTAAATAAATAGTAATATTCATGTAAAGTAAGTTTATAAACCCTAAACTATGGAAGGTTAAAGGAAATTGCTAAGTAAAGTGAATAGAAAATGTACTCTTTGCTGAAAGTTTCCCTTCGAGTGGCATCCGAGTGTAACAATGTTTTCTATAAAGCACTTCTCAATACAAGCTTACAATTAATTTGCAGTAAAACAGGGATAGCACTGCAACAAATGGTTGAAAAGATAATAAAATGAGAATGGTACGACAATAGCATAAAAGAAAAGAAAAGATTTTTATAATTTAAAAGACAGAGGTATGGTCAATTGGCTAGGAATGTGAAAAAAGTCTGGAAGAAACACTTTGACTTAGCTGTGGATATTTCACCTAGTAAGACCAGAATAAAGTGAGTTGCAGCAGTCAGGTGTGTTTAGATAGAGATAAAAACATGGATGACCTTATTCAGTTCTGACCTGAACGTGGTGATATTTGTTTGATGTGGCAGCCCAACGCTAAGTATCGTAAAGAGAGGACTGGAGTTATTGTTGTAGCTCCAATCCCCCGAGGAAGGCGGCAACACATTCGCCCCGACTAAAAGACAATCCTCACACATCACCTCACAGACAACTGGTGCGACTTACCACACACTAACGTGACACTGAATATTCTAACTATGCTGCTGCCAACACCTATCATGCCTGACACAGGTGTAGGGCAGTCCAACAACATAGACAGGAATCTGTTCTCAGCTGATTTAGAAATCATGAGGAAAGACTATAATTTGTATTATTAGAAGTAGTTATAGTATATTATAACAAGTATTATCATTATTATTATTAGAAAAAGTAGTAGTAGTATTGGTAGTAGCATATTCAAATTATTAGAAGTAGTAGTAGTAGTATTAGTAGCATAGTAGAAACAGTTCCTCACTCTCTTTTTGTAAAAAACATTTATAATTTCAAATTTCGTAACTTGATAAAAAGAAAAGAAATCCTTCGTTATGAATCATCGCACAAGTGATATAGTGATAAATTATGAGTCGACCAACACTGAGTTTCCCCACAAAGAATCACACAAAAACACTTTAAATCCCGTGTCTATCAGAGATGCACTTATACATTTCTTGGAAATAAGTAATTCAGCATGAAAAAAGCATAAAAATGACTAATCGACTAGAGAAATCTCAGTCGACTAAGACCATATGAAATAATATTAAATCTCCACAAATACATAGTGTAGTGTCTGTGTCACCTTCCCTCACATATTCAGTTTTAAATGTTTCCAATTAATAAAACCAACACTAGTAACAATAGAAGTGAATTTACAAATCAAAAGATTATTTCCATTGTGTTTCATGAAAACAGAAATGCAATTAAGTGACTGATAGACTTCAGGATTCCTCCTGTGGAAAGGCACACACTGAAATATGATACGATTTTCATTTTACAAAGTCGATGCAGCATGAATGTGACTTTTTAAGACAGCACAACGCGTTTACTCATTTGTTTCTGTCATCTTACTACAGTGAGGGCATTCACGTTACAAAGCTGTTAGTTAAAATATCCTAATTCTCAATAACCAGGCGGAAGGCGATACTATTTTAATCACTGCAAATAAACAGAAGCAGATGTACTGTTTGGGTAATGATCTGGGATAAGTATGAGCTTTGTTTGTGAGCTGCAGACTCCAAACACGAGTTTCTGTTTCCTCAAAGCTCCGCCGCGTTTTGTGTTTTGTCTCTTATTAAGCTGTGAAAAGCAATAAAGTACTACATCGTCTACTTTAATTCAATATATATACCAGCAGCAATAAGCATGGATGTCACATCTTAGAGACGCTGTGCAACAGACGCCTCTAGCAGGGTGTCCTATTCCATTATGCTCACACCCAATCCCTCATGATAAGTTCATACCCTGGGGATCAAAAGGGCCGCAGTCCCAGACACATGACCTGGATCTCATGTCTCACTGAAATGTCAAGAGGTGAAGCTGGGACATGCTGGCTTGTGAGAAACGCAGAGTGTAACTCAGTAAACGCATACTAACTCCACATCCTCTGTGGCTGCTTCTAAATGAGCCCCAACACTACTACTGGTGAGGAGGGAACTCATAAACACACTGAAGAGAACATGTATAAAGTTCAATGAGTGCACCAGAGTGGGGCTACATGAAAACACATTTTGGATTTCTTAGATAACAGTCGGGTCTTCTCCGTCTCTGATGATTGACACTATTTTCATTGCCTTCTGTTTTTATACTGTGTACAGCAAGTCTATAAATATTTAATGTAGAGTTGTTAATGCAATCAAAGAAATATCAATACAGTAGTGAAAAGAAACCAGGGTGGTTTAGGATTTGCAGCACAGTGCTTATCAGGGCTTCTCTCACCCCATAAGAAGGCATGTAGAACCAGCATCAGTGTGACTAAATCCAAGCCTCAGCCTCTTGCTTTTCCTTTAATCTTACTTTGTACATGATCAAAACTACACAAGCTCCCAGAGCAGTATGATATACTGTGGATGCAGCGTTAAGATTACATCGCATCAAACAGAATACTAAGGCCAGATCGTGATTAACGGCTTCTGTAAACTGGGTGAACAAATATTAGGCAACGAGCAATAAACAGTGATAGCACAACATTTCTTTGCTCTCCTTTTTCATTGTCCACATTCCACACTGTTTTCTAGACAGCGCCTGAAAACAAGCCGCCTCGAGCCTCAAGCTTCCTGATGACATGCACCAAGAGAGCACATATTAGTCAGAAACGTATCTGGAAGGAACTTGTGTGCAGTGGAAAACCAGGGGGGGGGGATGTGTCCTTGCTGCAGAAACGCCAATCAAGACCGTGTGAAAATCTGTACACAGCAAGTCTTCATTTCAGCCGAGGTGAAAATGCTGAATATTTTTCCAACGGAATCAGCGTTTGCAATCAAATGAAATATGGTTTGGTTTAAGGTTTGAAAATGACAAAAGCAAGCAGTTGATTAGGTGTTTTATAGTCTTGTTAAATTTGTGGTGAGCACTGTTACCTTAGACACTCTCTGGGCCACCTCCCGGCCAACAGAGAGCCCTTGGACAAATGTGCGTGCAGCGATGAATGCCCGGGTAACTTGAGCCTTGAGCTTCCTGGGCACGTCTCCAAAGGGCTTAAGCTGGTCAGTGTACTTACTGATACACTCCAGATAGTCCTCAGTGATGACGTACTGGGAGTTGAGCAGCGTGAACATACGCTCCAGTAGCCGCGACCAAAAGTCATTAAGCATTTCCTCCAGGTTAACATTTCCTCCTGTGTAATAGCGCTTGAGCTCTGCAAACAGGTTCTCAAAGACCTCCGAGTTCTGCATGTAAGGCTTGCCGTAAGTCCTCACGAACATCTCATTCAGGGACCTCTCTGTGTTCTCCAGTAGCTCCAGGAAGAACTCTGGGTAAAGAAGAAAAGAAAAAAGTGTTACTCATCGTCTAATTTTCTTTCATGTGTGACTGTGTTGCTACAGATTATACTGTACATGGCATACATTGATAAGATACACCGGGGACTGAATTCGTGGTTGAAATAGAAATGCAGCAAAATTACAATAAATGTGTCTGATTGCAAGATAGAACAAAGCCAAAAAAGGGATTGATTGCAATGCCGACACCAAATACGCCGACGACCAGAAAATACCAAAATAGCAAATCAATTAAGGCTTCCGATGTTGATTTCATTTTGAAGAGCCTTCACAGCTTTGTTGATTTTTATCTCCAGCAAACTACTTTTAACATCAATCGGAGCCTTCCTCATATATATTTCTGGAAAGCAATACGTTTTGTGTTTGCAGTGCAAGAGGTCTGTATTGTCCCAACATCACCTGTAAACCCACAATACATTTATGTACCTCGATAGAAAGGATGTATATTGCAGAAGGATTTCCTGTACAGTGTTTTTGCAATGTTGCTCCATATGGTGGAAGCATAAGGCTGTCGGATTAAACGCAATAAATGATCCTTATTATGGATATGATTACGATTCCACAATACAGTTTATCTGTAAGGTTTGCAGTCGTTCTGCATTCGCCTTTATAGGTAGCACTTGTTTGCCTCATGACCTCTATGACTCACCGCAAATTGGGAGGAGATGATAATATACCTGACCATCTGGTATCCATAATGATAGCCCTCCCTTTCAAGGACCAGGATTAACATTTAAAACAGGCTTCAAAACGCCGCACATTTAACTGCAAAGGGAAATAGTTCATGACTAGACAGAGACAGAGACTCCACTCCCATAGAGGGTGGTGGAGGTTACAGAATTATATTCCTCAGTTATTGTCTATTATAGGGCAATATGTCCCATTTCAAAGCAGGATTAATTGTTTATTTTTGGTCACTTGGAGACAGCGGAAAGTTGTAAATGCAATATTGACAAATTATCGCCTCATAAAGTTGATATGGCAAACTTGTTAGCAAACACTCGCCTCTTTACTTGTCGTCTACCAGACAGATTAGCATTTCTTTTGAGCCGTGTTTCTGGACAAAAATTGAATTTCATTTCCGTTCTGTTTTGGTTTCTGACAACTCCTGACAGAAGCATAGTGCCTTCTGCTGATTGGTGCTGGGAAGGTGGTGTACAGTGGGTTTATGAGAGATTTGGTCACTTAAAACAGCTACCTGCTGCATCTGGAACTGAGTTGATAAGAGAAGAGAGGCTAAATTAAAAACAGTAAAGCTGTAAAGCTGTGCGAGCTGCAAAACCAAAACAATGAGCTGATAAACTCTACAAGACTTTTCGAAAAATGTAGTCTGAAAAAGAAATCAATTAGTTACTACTTTTTATATCTACTATTGCTCCTTAATAAAGCAAAAGTATTTTTTATCCGAATACTAAATTCATTTGTAGAATACTTGATTTCTAAAATAATTGATAGCTGCATCCATAGCAGCACATTTATTATTGTTACACAGAATATGTAGTATAACATAGCAAGGCATTGTTCTTCATCATGTCATCAACTGTATAATATATTTTCTTTAACTTTTTTACTTAAACTTTTACCGGTGTTGGTTTTACTGTGCTGTATCACCAAATCATACAGCTGTCATATCACCAGTGTACAATGTACATAAAGACATTCTCCTTCCAAAGCAATTCACAGTAGCTAGGTCACATGACCACATCTATATATCTGGTTAGCTATATCAAAAGATGCCATTGCACACCAACAGAAAGTAAAATGTGAAAAAATATGCCTCATTTGCAAGGCAGTACAACACGCACAAAGTTATTTCATAATGTATACCTGATTGAGACAAATGTATTTTTAGCTGCAACCAGCAGCTATAACTTACTTGATGTTAGATATGAGGGTAAAGGTCACATTTGCCACAAGATAAATGCTAGATTCCAATCCTTTATTCATTCTAAAACCGCTTCTGATTTATTACATGCAACATGCTGACTTGATTTCTCTATTCTTATTACAATTAAGTATTTTTCATAAGCATGTCTTATCAGCGGGTAGCAGTGAGTGTTAATTGTAAGATGTCCTCTGGGGATCTGATTAAATTAGCTTTACCCTCACACAGATTTTCCTGCTATCTCAAGAGGTTTCAGCAGCACACACAGTATGAAGGACTTGTGATTTTGGATAAGTAATTCTAAATACTATAGGAAATGAAAGACTACAGTGAGCAGTTCTTTAAATAGAAAAGACTTGAAGCATGATTTGTGCTTGTTGTAGGTAATGAATATAGTCAGTGGTGCTGAGCGATGTGTATGCTGATTAATGACAGCTTCAAAACTAATTTAATTTAAAAAAAAGTGCACTTAAGAAAAGAAAAAAATATATATCTTAATTAATGCAGTCAGGTTATTCGCCCCAATGTGTCTGCTGGAATATTAATTTGAAATAACTAATGTAATTATGGCAGAATTTATTGTTGAATTAGATTGTTGGGAAGTATATTTGATATAATTCTAATCTCTGTTTTGGAGTGATTACAATGTATAATTACATTATAGATGAGTTAATTGAGTGACTAATATATTTAGTAAAAAAAAAAGACAATTGGAAAATCACATCGTATCTTACAGTACGTCTTAGTAATTAAGAGGTCTGTCCATATGAATGGCTGCGAGAGCTGCAAACAGAGGATAATGATGCTGAGTTGCTGGACAGGGGTGATTCTAATACTCATGCAGAGAGTTCATTACTTTTTGCTGATAAAGCTCAGTTTGGCTCACTGAGCCCACAGCGCTGTGCAGAGGTTACACATTCTTTCTGTGATGAAGAAAAGTCTGTTTCAGTGCATCCGCTGCTGCGTGCTCACACAGAATACGGATGGATGCTATCCCAGATGTCAGTTGTAGTCTCAATTTTAGCAATCTCGAAACAGAGTGCTACTATTTCATATCTTTGAGCTGGATGATGGCAAAAAGGCCTGCGTTTACAAGCAAACCACAGTTTCTGGAGACAAATGAGACGATGGAACATATAACTAACAGAGGTGGCTGTGGATGGGATGACATCTACTGTGAGAGGACCCTTGTGGGAAGTGGCCCGCAGAATGAATTACTACAAAGTCCCCTAAACTGTGACCAGCCATAACTTAGGAGCCACAACTCACTTTTCTTCAGTAATTACAATCTATGATAAAAAGAATTACCGCCTCACAGTTGCTTCCATCAACCAGTCAAGTTGCAGTTTACATCCAAAAAGCCATCAATTCATCATTTTATCATATCAAATAACTCTATTTGTGTGAAATTGTCATAATTCGCATATGAATTCCTTAGTTAAGGCCCAAAACGTTTGAGTTGAAGTAGATGTTTGTGCCAGATTTAATGAAATTTCTTCCAAGCGTTGTTGGGATATCAAGTTCACGAGAATGGGGCGCACAGATGGATGGATGAAAAACCCCTATACAAAAGGCCTCCAGCCAAGGCTGTCGCCGACGCGGAGGCATTCAAATATTGAAAGAAAAACACCACCTGGACCACATTTGACATCTGTGCAAGCAGATATACAGTTGTGTGAAAAAGTGTTTGGCCCCTTCCTGATTTCTTATTTTTTTTGCATGTTTGTCACACTTAAATGTTTCAGATCAAACAAATTTAAATATTAGACAAAGATAACACAAGTAAACACAAAATGCAGTTTTTAAATGGTTTTATTTTGAATTTTTTTATTATTAAGGGGGAAAAAAAATCCAAACCTACATGGCCCTGTGTGAAAAAGTGATTGCCCCCTAAACCTAATAACTGGTTGGGCCACCCTTAGCAGCAACAACTGCAATCAAGCGTTTGCGATAACTGGCAAAGAGTCTTTTACAGCGCTGTAGAGGAATTTTGGCCCACTCATCTTTGCAGAATTGTTGTAATTCAGCCACATTGGAGGGTTTTCGAGCATGAACCGCCTTTTTAAGGTCATGCCACAGCATCTCAATTGGATTGAGGTCGGGACTTTGACTAGGCCACTCCAAAGTCTTCATTTTGTTTTTCTTAAGCCATTCAGAGGTGGACTTGCTGGTGTGTTTTGGATCATTGTCCTGCTGCAGAACCCAAGTGCGCTTCAGCTTGAGGTCACGAACAGATGGCCGGATATTCTCCTTCAGGATTTTTTGGTAGACAGCAGAATTCATGGTTCCATTTACCACAGCAAATCTTCCAGGTCCTGAAGCAGCAAAACAGCCCCAGACCATCACACTACCACCACCATATTTTACTGTTGGTATGATGTTCCGTGTTACTTTTACGCCAGATGTAATGGGACATACACCTTCCAAAAAGTTCAACTTTTGTCTCGTCAGTCCACAGAGTATTTTCCCAAAAGTCTTGGGGATCATCAAGATGTTTTCTGGCAAAACTGAGACGAGCCTTTATGTTCTTTTTGCTCAGCAGTGGTTTTCGTCTTGGAACTCTGCCATGCAGGCCATTTTTGCCCAGTCTCTTTCTTATGGTGGAGTCATGAACACTGACCTTAATTGAGGCAAGTGAGGCCTGCAGTTCTTTGGATGTTGTTCTGGGGTCTTTTGCGACCTCTTGGATGAGTCGTCGCTGCGCTCTTGGGGTAATTTTGGTCGGCCGGCCACTCCTGGGAAGGTTCACCACTGTTCCATGTTTTCGTCATTTGTGGATAATGGCTCTCACTGTGGTTCGCTGGAGTCCCAAAGCTTTAGAAATGGCTTTGTAACCTTTTCCAGACTGATAGATCTCAATTACTTTGTTTCTCATTTGTTCCTGAATTTCTTTGGATCGCAGCATGATGTCTAGCTTTTGAGGATGTTTTGGTCTACCTCACTTTGTCAGGCAGGTCCTATTTAAGTGATTTCTTGATTGAGAACAGGTGTGGCAGTAATCAGGCCTGGGTGTGGCTAGAGAAATTGAACTCAGCATTCCAAAGATGTGATAAACCACAGTTAATTTATGTTTTAACAGGGGGGGGG